GTGAGGAATCAGCCCAGAACTACTCGGGAGGAACTTGTCAATGATCTCAAGGCAGCTGGGACCATAGTCACCAAAAAAACAGTAACACACTACGCCGTGAAGGACTGAAATCCTGCTGTGCCCTCAAGGTCCCCCTGCTCAAGAAAGCACATCTACAGGCCTGTTTGAAGTTTGCCACTGAACATCTGACTGATTCAGAGGAAGACTGGGTGAAAGTGTTGTGGTCAGATAAGACCAAAATCGAGCTCTTTGGCATCAACTCAACTCGCCGTGTTTGGAAGAGGAGGAATACTGCCTATGACTCCAAAAACACCGTCGCCATCGTCAAATATGGATGTGAAAACATTATGCCTTGGGGTTTTTTTTCTGCCAAGGGGACAGGACAATTGCACCGCATCAAAGGGAGGATGGATGGGGCCATGTACCATCAAATCTTGGGTGAGAGCCTCCTTCCCTCAGTCAGGGCATTGAAAATGGGTCGTGGTTGGGTATTCCAGCATGACAATGATCCAAAACACACAGCCAAGGCAACAAAGGATTGGCTCAAGAAGAAGCATATTAAGGTCATGTAGTGGCCTAGTCAGTCTCCAGACCTTAATCCCATAGAAAATCTGTGGAGGGAGCTGAAGGTTCAAGTTGCCAAACATCATCCATAAAACATGAATGACTTGGAGAGGATCTGCAAAGAGGAGTGGGTCAAAATCCACCCTGAGATGTGTGCAAACTTTGTGGCCAACTACAAGAAACGTCTGACCTCTGTGATTGCCAACAAAGGTTTTGCCACCAAGTACTAAAGCACATTTTGCAAAGGGATCAAATACTTATTTCATTCATGAAAATGCAAATGAATGTATAACTTTTTTTGTAATGCATTTTTCTGGATTTTTTTGTTATTGTTGTCTTTCACTGTTCACATAAATCTACCATTGAAATTGTAGACTGATCATTTCTTTGTTAGTGGGCAAACATAAAAAATCAGCTGGGGTTCAAATAATTTTTTCCCTGACTGTATGTGTGTATATATATACACGCACGCGCGCACACGCACACACACACACACACACACACACACACACACACACTAGGGCTCCAAAATTATCACCACTGTTTTTACTGGACATTTTAAGAGTCCAAAGAGTCAGGTAATAACATCAGCCATATCGTTAGTGATATATGATTCAGAAACTGAACATCAGTACCTTAGACCTGGTCACATTTCTGGTTGAGGTTTGTCCCTGTTCAAAAGAACGCTGCTACAGGACAACCCAGAGTATTTTGAATGTTACATAATCTTTGGGAAGTGCAGTGCCAAAACACCAAATACCCTTTAACATAAAAATGTCAAAACATTAACCTTAGTTGATAAATGCAGTACATTTTTATTACCCACACAGTCTGAATATCAAGAAAACAGTGAAAACAGAAAAGGGGACCAAACCTTTTGAATTTAATATCCATGAATACTTTGTGTTGCCACAATGATAAACAACCTGGTCTTGTTTTCATCATGTTGTTCACCATTTCTGCCATAATAATTGATAATAATTTAGCTGTGGATGCTTATAATTGAGTCCACTCAGACAAACAATACGACTCTACAGACAACCAGTCAGACAGGTTTTAAACATAAAGAGAAAACAAATCTCAGTTATTACCATGTCATGGATTCAATAATAATAAAACAAAAACAACTACAGAACCTTGCTTTGCTTATTGCAACCACAGTGGTGTTAAAGTCTGTCACTGGGGGCCACAGTAAGAGAACAGATGCCATCATATGATCTCTGTTTGACTGCTGGTTCACACTCAAGATACACTACACCTGAGACAGATTCTTACTGAGGCCCTGTGAGTAATTATAGCTTTTAAATATTCCATAAGCTAAAAATAAGCAACTTCTTCACTTTAGGATTCTCTGGGGAACAATCTCTGATGCGATGTTATGAAATACAAATGAACTGCCGATAAAAACCATGTGTTCCTGCTCAGCAGTTGTGTATAGGATATACTGCCCTCCTTTCAATCACACAACCACTAACTGCTACAGCACAATGACCACATATGGTCATGGCCAAAAATATCGGTACCTCTGTGTTTCTGTCAGAACACGCACCATGATTCCCCAAAAAACTTGTTGTAACCACTAATTCTTTGGTCTTTTCATATTTATTTCTTTTTTTGCATTGAAACAACACAAAGCAAAGGAGCATCACATGCTTGATGATTTTGAAAAGGTGTCAATAATTCTGTCCAGACCATTTTTGGAGTTCTGTGTGGAATGTACAGTGGACACAGGAACAGCCAGATCTCTGGAGATGGACTTGTAGCCTTGAGACTGTCCATGTTTTTCCACTGTTGTGGTTCTCAAATCGTCAGATAATTTTTTGCTCTTCTTTTTTTTCCTCCATACTCAGTGTGGTCCACATGACCCAAAGGTTGAGTCAACCTTTCTCCATTTTAACTGGTTGTAAGTGTAATTTCTATACTGCCAGCACCTGTTGATTGCTACAGGCGAGTTTCATTACAAAGTAAAGGAGCATCACATGCTTGAAATACAACTATTTCTGATGATTTTGAAAAGGTGTCAATAATTCTGTCCAGACCATTTTTGGAGTTCTGTGTGGAATGTATCAGATTTGGCTTTTTGCTCTCTGCTTTTTGTGTCGTTCCAATGGAAGCAAAAGAAGTAAACATGAGAACAGCAAAGAATTAGTGATTACAACAGTTTTCTAGGAGAAGTGGTGCGTTAGCTGACAGAAATGCAGGGGTGCCAATATTTTTGGCCATGATTGTAACTTTCATAATATATTATAAGTGTAAATGAATGACCAACAGTATTCAATTTGAGCCCCCTTCAATGGATCCCTTGTTTTATTTTTTAGGAGAGACATGTTAACAGTAGTAGAGTATTTTAGAGGTTGGGACCAATTTGGTTTCATTTCAGTGTCTTCAAGATACAGCTCGTCTCACCAATGACAGGAATCTTGTGACATTTTGAAACACTTAATAAGCTGAATTTCCTACATACAGTACTTGTGTCACAATATTGGCACTATAGTTTGAAGACACTTCCTGACATTATCACACTACAGAAACTCCTCCAATTCTCCCATGTCATTGAGGATTTAAGCTGGGAGAGCATATTAGGTGCTACTGGAATGCTAAAATGTTTAACATTATAACTGCTTTATAGCTAGTGTCAATACTAAAGTGCTCAGATGTAGGTAAGAGAATCAAAACATAAACATAAATTGATTGATTGATGATTATTCCAAAGTGTAATACAACTGTAGATAAGTGGTATCTACTTCTAAAAGGAAAAGTTATCTGTTATTAGTTACCCATTGCAATTCCACTTATATTATTTGAATTGATTTAACTGACACACAAATGATTGCCAACCTTTACATTTTCACTCCATTACACTATACAGACCACATTTATTCTTTCTCATTGTGTGAACCTATAGAAATAAAACTATATGCTTTTGGTAATCACTGTCAAGCATCGGTTCATGTTTAACAAGCAGGTATGGAGACAAGGAGAATATTGATGAAAAGGAGGTGAGGATAGAGGAAGGGGTGATGATGTTTGTCAAGCAACAGAGGGCTGTTAGAGTTAGAATATAAAGTAGGAACAAAGAATTTAAACAGTGTTTAGTTGTGTGTTGATTTAAACTGCTCTGTAGATGACAGACTCTTGCAAGTATTACTACCTCCAGTCAAGGTGTTACTACAGTGCTCCTAACTCCCCCTACATTGGTATTTCACTACTAAGATGATGAAAACACATAAGACTTTTTACATTTTTTGTCTCTCTTAGCACAAAAATATCACACTTTATCCATTAGGGTTTACATCTGTTGGTACACTGGCCTGGCTCTTTGTATTTGCTGGAAAATTTGACATCAATCTAATTTGGAAAGAAATGTTTGTTAAATACACATCAATTTTTTAAATGTTGGACTAATTATAATTTTTATAAGAGTGGTTGAAGTCGTACCTAAAGACCACTTTCTTCAAAATGGTGTCCAGCTGCAGCAGTCAGCTGTTTTCAGAGAAAATCTTAATGTAGGACTAGCATGTACTGTGGAAAACACATGAAGGCTTATAGAGTGTGATTTAAAGTAGACTTTGGGTCATTCCCAAATGTGTTTAGCAGGAGCTGCTTGGTAACTCTTGCTCAGAACCTGTGTAGTACATGTTTACCAAGCTGTTATGTGGCTTACATAAACACATTTACAACAGCAATTGCCACATTTATTCCTGCTCGTGTGCAAAATGGAAACAAGCTAAGCTGATCTGGGACAAAAAACTGGTGACAGTGATTGTAACCACAGCACAGTGATATTGTCATCTTGAGCAATTTGACAACTGTAATGGTATCAAGGCCAAGTCACACCAGCATTACTCAAGTTCAAATTTGAAGAACCCATACATTTGCGCCATTGACCAATATCTTCCCATCTTGCTAGAACTGACCTTTGCATGAACAAAAAGCCGTCACCCCTCAGTTTTACTGAAGCTCCTCTGTTGCAGTATAACCTGCTTCATGACAGAGACATGACTTACATACAGTCAGGAGACAGAAATTTATTATCAGTAAATCTGTCTCAGTGTGAACTTACTGTCCTGTTAGTGACTGAATTGATAAAATTGCTTAGCTTGAGTTTTTTTATTCAGCAAAATGATGAACCATCCTGAGAAGAAAACACCTGGGGCAACAGAAACAGAAAAGGCCTGGTTGGCAGCTATTGTTCCTAGTGTTCCCAGTTAGCTGGTTGGCTCCAGTACCTAAGCAACTAGCGCTGTGAGTAGTCACTACAACAAGCTTGAACAACATTCTTCCTTGTGCCACCCTCTGGTGTATTTACAGTGATGGAACTGGAAGCAAAACTACTGCTAACTTCCACTGTCTATGTTAAACAAAACAAAGCAATGTCATCATTGCAAGGTTATTTTCATTAAATAAAATAAAGGGTGTAATTACTGGTGGTTCTTCTGGCCATTGTCCACAAGAAAATGTACTTTGTGAAATTCACCGGCCACATTTATGTTTGGAGTAGGTTAAGTGTCCCAAAGAGCTGATAAACCTGGCAGCTACAGCTAAGCAGATTTTCCCTCAAAATCGTGCATCTTAAATAAACTTAATATAGAAGCCAGCCGCTGACAGTCACTTTTCAATTTTAACAGCATTTCATAAGGCCTAGTGTGAAGAAACTAGGACACATGCGCACACACACACCCACACCTGTATCCTCAGTACAGACAGTGGTGAAGAATAAGGTGGACACTGATGTAGTGTTATAAAGACCAATTTCTTTCATGCATTTGTTGTAAGGGGGAGTGCACTTGTGTGTTTATTAGGACTTTCTGATTGCCAAATAGCAGCACACACACACGAAATGGAAGAGGAGGAAGGAAGGAGGAAAGTGAGCGCAGGACAGGTCAAATACAAGTGTGTTAACATTTAAACACAACAGAACAACCTGAGACTAGTGTGGAGGAGTTGGTGGGTTACAGGGTGGTAGAGAAAGGGAAAGGAATGAGAGAAAGACAAAGATCAACAGACCGATCTTCAGATAAGAGAGAAATAGTGCAACAAAGACAGATAAAGCGAGAGACCTCTTGAATCTGGGAGCATGAGAGAACGTAAGGGCACAAAAGGGACAAGATAAGGACAAGAACTTAGGGTAATGAGAGAGAGTTCAGGGAGGGCGGACAAAAGGGTGAAACAGCAAAGAAGAGAAGAATTGAGAAGAACAACTGAGACAGAGAAGCAGTACTGTTCAAGAGTGCGGCTGCGGAACTCCATATCCTGGTCCTGGTCTGTGGATGGGTCTCCCCGCTAGTGACTGAGAATTAGAATAAGTAGGCCCAGTTGGGTAGCTGTAGCTGCCATAGCTGTAAGAGGCTGCGTAGGGTGCAGGACCACTATGGGGGTGACTGGGGTTGTACTGGCCAAAAGCTGAGCCCGGGTATGGGGTAGGGAAGGAGGGCTGGCTTGGATAAGGGCAGGTGGCTGAAGCTGGAGGCCCGAAAGCTGGCCTGGGGCTGGAGTAGCTCCCTGCTGGGGTAAAAGGAGGGCCAGAACCTGGATATGGAGGAAACTGTGACGAGGTGTTGGCCTGGCTGGAGCCTGCCACTGCTGCTGCCACTGCCGGGGG